CATCTGTTTGCTTACAAGGGAGAGATGGCTGCTACATCTTCCACCATGGCAGGAGTTTTATGTTAGGGAAGAGTGAACCACATCTACAAGCTCTAAGTAGATGTGCCTCAAGGCAAAACCAACTTTCTGAGGAGTAGCCATCCAAATATTCTCTGTCCTATACTTAGAAGATCTCGGTTTGTCCAAACTGCATCATCATTTTACCATAACAGACTTACTTGACTTGGCCAAACATTTAAATGTCTTTGAAATGGCAAATCTACCATATCATCAGATTGTGGATTAGTTGCATATGCTTTTCAATTCTAGGAAAGAAACATCCTCTTGGTAAACTACCTGTTAGGCTCATGTGGAGTATATAACTGCATGTTAACTCTAGGTTTCTTATTGTCCTTCAGTAGGGGGTTGATGCAATTGAACAGAAATAAGCTAATTGTACTGTCTATGTAAAGTCATTCCCCATATATCTTTCAAATGCCTGAATCATTGCATTTCTATAACATGCTCCTCCACCAGGACATTTTTTGGCATCACTTGCATTAGTTAGGATCTTCTGAGAAGCAGACATCCAGGCTGAATTAGACTGATAAAATATTTACTGAGAAAAATCCCTCTGACATTATAAAGGGAGAAAGCCAGAGATGGTGAGGAAAGCCTTCAGATCTTCTGTGGAGGAGAGTGAAAGAGAAGGGTTGGGTAGGAGGGCACTCAGACTGTAGCACCAATCTAAAAAAAATTTAGTTCTGGAGCCAAAGTCTCCCATAAAAGAGCTCTTACATTTTGTATGTTTAGGTCTGCATAGTATATCCTGCTGCACTTAGTTATTAGCTTTAAGAAGCCGGTAAGGAGTGTGGCTTCAGCACTAATATGATGGTGGATTCAGAACATGGTAACTGGGGCCTTTTGTCGGTTTCTCTGAATGGGGCATTTTCATTGCTTCCAAATAATTTTATTGTTATATGTGTGATCCCTATATAAATGGATAAACGAGCAGATGGCAATTGTTTAAAATAGTTTAAGATTTTGTTTGAACATAGCAGTTTCCCTTGTTCTCTCTTCCATTTTTTGAAATGATAGATAACATGAGGTTAAGAAACAGTCTGATTTTCTGAGAAAGGGAAGTGTAGTAGCTCTCTAGGTGAGTATAAACTTGATTCATAAGAAGTTTACCCAGTAAGTTCTGCCTCAAGACACAATCAACAGTATTGAAATTTAAGTTGCCTTGTGATACTTGTACAATGTTACCATGTACCCAATACTATTGAGAACAGCACTCTATAGTTTATAAGATGTAGTACATTTGGGGGGTCGATATGCCGCCATTGAACTCATACTTTTGCTATTTTTTTTTTTTTGTCTATAGAACCTGGAGTGAAATTTATTTCTCCAAATCCCAGTTTAATAAAAAATATATAACACAATGATTTTTGGGGTGAGTTAGGGATTTTATAGGATCAAATGAAAAACCTGACAAGTGTTCAGTTTATATTACTTTATTGATTGGTAGACTTGCAGTGTTTTGCTACAAACTTAGGCATTAAGTTGAAGGTAACTAAATACACCTTTATGGTTCTTGTTTTATATGGAAAGCTAAATTAACACACAATCATATATTACACTTGAATTTATAATGGTTATGTTCCAGTAAGATTATATTATAATGTTTTCATGAATTATATACATTATATTTATAATGGAAGATATTAATTTAGCATTGCATTTTAAACCACATTCTACACCATAATCATTGTGGAATATTTTACAGTATCCAGAATATTTTATTCTAGCTCAGATTAATTTAATCAAAAACTCATAGGATTGAATCAAGTGATGCTTAGTTATCTAATAAAGGAGATTTTGATACTATTGTTTGTTAAATATCTGTTTATCATATTGAGATAAATGAATAAAAGTATACTTCTCTGATAATATTCACAATATTGGATAAAGTAGTAACTTTAAATGTCATTGAGGCCGTGTTTTGTTTTCTGATTATCGGGCCCTCCAAAACAGGTAGCTACCTCTGTATAAAACTGAGAAAGGTATTTGTAGTAGTTAACTAGTGCTATGGAAAAAATCATCCTAAAACTTAGAGGTTTACTACAGCAAACATTTATTATCTATCATTTTCTGAAGGTCAAGAACCTGGATGTCATTGGTTCAGGGTCTCTTACAATGCTTCAAGATGTTGGTGCTGGCTACAGTTATATCAAAGTTTAACTTGGGGAATATCTGCTCCCAGGCTTACTCATAGGGCTTTTGGCAGGTCTTAGATTCCCACTGATTGTTGGCTGGATACACCAGCTCCTTGCCAGATGGGCCTATCCATAATTCAGCTTATATGTCAGCTGACTTTCTGTAGAGTAACCAAGAGAATTAGAGAGAGGCTCAAGTAAGAAGCTACAATTTTTCTGTAACCTAATCTCAGATGAGACATTTCATAACTTCACTTGATTGAAAGTAAGTCAATATGCCTAGCCTACATTTGTGAGGAGAGACAAGGATGTAAATACCAAAAAACAGGGATCGTTGGGGTCCATTTTTTAGGCTGCTTACCACAATACTAATCATTGATTTCAATATCATTGCCTTCTTCTTCACTTTTATTTATGTTAATATTAATAATTCATTAAATCATTTATTCATATATTTTATTGATATACTAAGGTCTATTTTTCAACACATTATCCCAATATGATTTTATGCATGTCTTAGTCTGTTCAGGCTACTTTAATAAAATACCACAGACTGGGTTGCTTACAACCCAAACTTATTTCTCACATTTTCAGAGTCTGTGAAATCCATAATCAAGGCACCAGAAGATTGCGTCCTGATGAGGACTCTCTTCCTTTTTCATAGCAAGGGCTGCACATAGAGGAAGGAGCCTATTTTTATATATCCTGTTCATTCTATTCATCTATAATTGGCAGAGTAATAATGGATTTGTGTATCTTAAAAATACTTCATGACTAATTATTTGATTTCTCCACAAAGTTATCAATATGGTTGTATTTATCACATTACCTGAATACATGTCTGAGACCTGACCATTTCAGATCTGTTTTCAGATCCGTACTATTGGGTTCAACTACTATTGCATTTTCTAGTGATATCCTCTAAAATATGCCTCGCAAAAATATTAGTTTGAATATTAGCTCTAATAACCTTAGAATTCAGATGCGTTTGGGCATATCAATAGTTTGACATTTAAGTAGACATTATGAATAATGCAGTTTTCTCTAGTTTGTTTTTTATTCAGCTGGATACTTTGTAACTAACTTGTCTATCATTATACCCAAAAGTAGAAATTCAAGATACAATTCTATATATGGTAGAATATTCCTCTCATATGTCACAAGTAGCTGCGGTCTGAACTTCCGTTTTTTTCCTCTTCTAATTATTCTCTTTTGGAACCCAAGCCCTATCACACTGCAAGCTAATGTGGAGAGTTTCACTCAAATCACTACTTCACTTAACTAAATATAAAATACTTTTTGTGTTATCCTGTATACTGACCAATATGGACCCTTTTTCAAAATTGTTGACACTATCACAGATGACCCTCTTTTTCCCCCTACACCTAGCCACCCCCACCCCCACCCCAGCCTTCACCACATTATTGTCTGTGTCCATGGGCTATGACTATATGCATACATGTTCTTTGGCTAATCTTTTTTCAATGATTACATATTACTCTAAATTAATATTCTATTCCCTATTCCAATTGAAGTAAATGAAGTATATCAGGTAAGGCGCTACCTGTTGATATAACAACAAAAGCCCCAGTTATTGAAATGTACAATGGTTGAAACAGGTATGAGAAATTTTATCTTACATACAGCTTACCATTGTTCCTGTTTTGTGGGCAACTTACCTCAAGTGGTGATTCAGGAACACAGAACTCTTCAAATGTGCACCTCTATCATTTTCTAGACTTGATTTCCAATTCATTGTGATTATATATAACACACTAGTAGAAGGAGAAAGAACATGAAAGAATGTGGCTGGTAAGTGTTTATGAGCCAGTATTAAAAATGGCTCACATGACTTCCATTCACATATCATAGGGTAGAACTCTTGAAAGGAAGGAGTAGCAAAGAATTTGCATGAATTTTAAAACCACTATCATAACTTGCTATAAGTTACATGAAATATTTGCTTAGTGAAAAATGTGTCCAGGGCAAGATCATTATCCAACAAGTGAAAATTTAGACTGCATAGGCAATTAAATCAATTTGATAGGTTATGTGCAGAAGTTGTAACTTAAAATTATGGATGCATAAATAAAAAGAAGAATTAATGTTATCCATATGGGGCAGAGGAAAGATTTATATATGCAGCCATATACTACTAGACATTGAAGAGTAAATCAATCTCCATAGGTTGGTTAGATGAAGAAGGACATTTGATACCACTGACGATCATTACAGTAATGATTATTTCAGGCAAAAGTTATTGATACATGATCTGTATATTGCATTGTGTGCCTACTACCCAAACTCAAATAATCTTCTGTAACTATATATTTGGCTCCCTTTACCCTTTACATGTGCCCAACTCCCTTTCCCTCTGGTAACCATCGTACTGTTGTCTGTGTCTATGAGTTTCAGTTTTATATTCCACATATAAGCAAAATCATATGGGTCTTAGCTTTTTCTGTCTGACTTATTTCACTTAGCATAATATTCTCAAGGTCCATCCATGTTGTTGCAAATGGCAGTATTTCATCTTTTCTTATGGCTGAGCAGTATTTCTTGGTATACATACAGCTCATATAGCATAGAAATCTACACTGCAAACTTATATAATCTTATTTGCCAATTTCACCCTGATAAACTTAATTTAAAAATAAAATAAAAATAAATCAATAAAAATAACTATGTACTGTTTAAAAAAGCCATTGCTCAATGATAAACCTGGTGGGTAAGATCTGATAAGAAATAGACTATATGTGCATCTCATATTTACTCTACATAAGATACTTATTAATTTTTTTTTAGTCTCCATTGAGACTGTCAAAAATTGCCAATGCTGACTATATTTCAAGTCGTCATGGTAGGATATTGAGAAAAGTTTTCAATTAGCAATAATTACGCCTCAAATGAACTTCATTGACTATGATACTGCCACTGCACAAAGCTGATACTTACTAATTTTAAAGAGAAAATAAAACCCTAATGTTTGGAAAATTTGGTAGACTCCATCTTATTTGTGATCCAATTAACATTAGAGGGATAGGTATCCAGTGCTTCCTGATATAGCATCCCGAGAAGGAAACGTCACCTTTATGTAAATCCTACCCAAAATGCATAATCTAAATCTATAAGGAAAAAGTCTTATTGGAACTCACAGAATTTTAATTTATGGAGGTAACTGATGATGTAGAGAGTCCAATGCCAATAAAGATGTTTATTACTTACATTTCTGAGAAAAGAGACATTTCACACCATGCAGGGACACAAGAAAAGTGTATTGGTTAGGAGCCAGGGGAATTCCCAGGCCAGAACCTTTAATGGGGTTTCCATGGGATAGGCAAGGCAAAGCAGAGTAAATAATTTAGGAATATCTAATTTGAATAATTCCTGAGCAAACTTTGGTGATAGGAGTAGTCAGTTGCCTGACCCTGGCCCTGGGTGATTTAGGGCAGGTGAACTAATGGCTTAGTGAGTGAGTTTGATAAGGAGATGGTTGGTGATGTGGGTTCAGGATTGGTTAGTTGGCCTGTGAAAAGTATGCTCCCAGGCAAGCCCTTCTCTAAGAATTGGCTAGCTCTGAGAGGGGCAGTCCCTCACTAGTCAGGGAGGTCACAAATACCAGAGCATCAGTAATTTAGAAAATAAGAAATATAGTTAATATAACTTGGCCTATCATGAATGGATGCCAAATAGATAAATACAGAATTTAAGAAAGCACAGTTGGAACAGAACCATCAGACAAACCCAAATAGAGATGTTTCTACAAAATGAACAGCCTGTATTCTTTAAAAATGACATCATTGAAGACAAAAGAATATAGGGAAACCGTCCAATTTGAAGGAGACTAGTGTTTGTTTTTGTCTGAAGCATAGCAAGAATTTACATTTATGGTCATAGAGACCAATTTTAGCAGACCTTCAGCCCTTTCATTCTAGTACTACCCGGTTTTGACAGGCTGTTATTGTAGAGGAAAGGCATAGATATAGCAGGGAGAGAGAATGAAAAGGTAAATTGATTTAATAGGATTCTATGGTAACATACTATTTCATGAGGAAAATGTGCAAGGTTTTGTTTTTGAAATGTGTTCCAGAGTAAGGGCTTGCTGATCCAACTAAGGCAGATATGAGGCAAAGACAGTGATTTTTATGTTCACATGTTTAAGGCACTAGCATGAAAGAGAAGGAAGGACTTTCATGGTAGACAGTTTATTGAAGATTACTTGGTCTGTCAATCTCCTCTTTAGGAAGCATTCTTTATAAAGCTCAAAGATCCTAAAAGAGCTAGAATTGATTACATCAGTGGGAAAGCTTGATATGTCTAAACTCCTGAGGCATTAAGAGTACAGCTACATTAATCTCTTGCTATAAGTCAAGGTAGGGTATAGAAAATGTGACCAAAGCTGGATGTTAGAAGAGAAAGTCAGCCATAATTTATTTGTCAGGTTTAATCTTATTCATGCTCTGTAGGTAGTTATAGCAGTTAATGGTAAAGCTCTCATCATCAGGTTGTATTTTAATTTCTTCTCATGGTGTATCTTATATAACCTGAAAACATCTTCATATTTAGTTTAACAAAAAAAGACAAATTTTCTAGTTAGGATTAATTTCCTTTTTTGAAAATTTTATATCAGATTGATATAAGCCTTGTGTTTAGAATGTTTTAATGAAAGTAATCTAAATCTAAGTAAACTAGAAAACTCTAAAGAATGTAAAGGATATAAAAATGAGATAGTAAGAAAAGTAGAACACAGGATAATCATTATATAATAAAAATAAAATTAAAAAATAAAATTAACAATAGATAATTTTATATGGATCATAAGTAAAAATCTATGATTAATATTTCTGTACAAAGTAATATAATTTAGATAAAATTATTTTTATCTAAAAATATGGAAAAAATAAAAAATATGAAACTTTAAAAATACATTTTCAATGTATCAGTAGACTCATATGAATGTAAAGATAACAATGTGTTGGAACACATTTCATATATACACACACAGTGGGAATCTTGCAAAAATAAAGGTGCACAATTTTTATGCCAATTATCATGGCAACTTTTCAAAACTGAAATGTTTATCCACAAAGAAAACTCTCATATAGTCAAAAAAGCAGAAATTGTTTAGGTCAAGTTTTTCTACATGAAAAAATACAAGCAAAAACAAGCAACAAAATGCCAAATTAGAAAGAACAAAATAAAACTTTCCCTTAAATATGTGGGCAAAGTTATATACATACATATATACATATACATGTATATAATTGTGATAAAGCACTGTTCAGAATGACATACATATATTTAAATGTTTACTTCAAAGAAACCCATGCTGATATATTTTTTAAATTCTTATAGTTATTTTAAAAATATACTTTCTCTTAGGAAGAATATTCTACATGATCCTCAAAGAGAGTTATCCCAGAAACATAATTTTGTCATTAAAAATCAATGTTAAATTATTTTAAGGAAGAAGGTTTTAACTAAAACTTAATGTTTTTCTTGAAGTCTTATGTGAGACATTTCATCGCTGAAGGTTAGATTAGTAGTTTTAATAGTAGTAGTGAATAGTAGTAGCTATAGTAGTGGTGGTGATAGCACAATTAGAATATTTAAAAAATGTTTAATCATAAATCTGACATTTTGAAATGGATAGTTCTGGATTCTTACCACATGATTTCCAGGAACAAAATATGCGTACAACTTTAAAGGCCCTGCAAGTCTGATTGTAGCTCTAAAATCAATTAGTATTTAATATGTATAGGTCAGAAATGAAGTAGTATCTTCATAGTAAAGAATGATATATTTGGCATGAATTTGTAACATTATTTTGAAAACCTCTTGGTTTATATTAAAATATATTAGAAATGATCTATATCAACAGATATCATCAGTCATGCTATTTGAATAATGTTAAACATATTCAAATGTTTATGTTCCTTTATATAAATCTGATACATATGCCCTGGCCAGTTTGGCTTAGAGGTTAGAGTGTCGGCCCGCCGACCAGAGAGGCCCGGGTTCAGTTCCAGCTAAGGGCATGTACCTCGGTTGCAGTTTTTCCCCGGCCCTGGTTGGAGTTGTGTGGGTGGCAACCACTCGATGTGTCTCTCTCACATTGATCTCTCTCTCTGTCTTCCTCCCTCTCTCCCTCCCTCATTATCTCAAGATAAATGCAAAAATATCCTCGGGTGAGGATGAAAAAAAAATTTTTTAAATAAATCTGATAATTATATGGACATTTGAGATAGACTTAATAATATTTTATAAGACTGACATTAAAGTCCATAATGTTACCAAATAACTTTTAGAAATGAAATCCATTGCAATAAAAAATTACATGAAGTTATATGTGAAATTAAAATAAGAATTTGTTTTATAAACTTAACTACATTAGCGTGAAATACAAGTGTATAATACACAATTTACCCAGTGTTTAAAATAATTTTATAGGGATTTTTCCTCTTTGTCAGTTAACTAGCCATAGAATCAGAAGGAAAATCTTCAGTTTTCCATTTCTTGTTTCATTGTCATTTGCTATCTGCCCACCTTCCTAGTGTTTCCTGCAGATTCAAGATTGTCAGAGGCTGATAAATTGGTGCTTTCACTTAAAGCATTTCTCTTGCCCTCTAAATCCCCCATCCATCCACTACGGTCTGTGACTCCTGACTACAAGGCTTTGCCGGCTTCTGTCAGCACTACTCAGCTAAGCTGAAGAAGGAGACAGATTTGCTACTGCAAAATTTGTGAGCTTGTAAAAAATCCATATTTTTTAGTACTTTCTTTTGCTTTTCTTGTTTTCAGTTATATACTTTAATTCCTCTAGCTATATTTGATTATATGGCTTCTTATTTTAATTATTATTTTCTTTATATTGTTTAATGATAGATTTTATTTTCTCGGTAATAAAGTCCAGCAGTGTATCTTAATGCTATTACTTGGGTGATGACATTTGTAAAGGGTGAATGGGTAAACATGAACATATAAAGGAATTTTGATTAGCTGATATGTTTAGTTAATTGAAGAATAAATACCTGCATTGGTAATTGTTTTATTAGAAAGAAATAGTAAATATGACTGTTTAGAAAGTAAAATAATACAAATTTCAGTGTATAAATACTACCAATCCCTTACTTTGGGTAAAAAGTTAGTAACATCTTGATGAATATTGACATTTATAAACTAAATATTTTGCCTTAGTTATAGTCTAACAAAACTGAAGTTTAATAAAGAGATAATTATAAGAGATATTGTTTAAAACATTTATTCTGTTATGCAAACATTGATTTGTACTATAATACAAAACAGTAAGACAGCCCTGGCCAGTTTGGCTCAGCGGTTAGAGCGTCGGCCTGCGGTCCTGAGAGACCCGGGTTTGGTTCCCGCCAAGGGCACGTACTTCGGTTGCAGTTTGTCCCCGGCCCTGGTTGGTCGTGCGGGTGGCAGCCACTCGATGTGTCCCTTCACGTCGATGTTTCGCACTCTCTCTCCCTTCCTCTCTCTCCCTCCCACTCTATCTGTACAAAAAATGGAAAAATATCCTTGGGTGAGGATAAAAAAAAAAAAAACAAAACAGTAAGACACATAGTTTGTGCACACTCTAAAAGACATAGACAATGAATTAAATAAAGTATCACAAGAATTGATTCTTGAGTTTAAATATCCTGACTTGATCCCAGCTGTCTCTAAAAGATAAATACTTCAGTACTTTTTTGATGAGAAGAAAAAGTACCAGTTATAAAATTGTATTTTCTTTAGGCACATGATGTCTGTAATTAAATCGTCTGTTTCCAGAAACTGTTGTTTTTCCTGCCTTAAATCGTCTGTTTCCAGAAACTGTTGTTTTTCCTGCCTTTATATCCTATTATAGGAATATTTTCTGGGTATTTATGGTCACTTTACATGATTAGTATCTATATGTTGAGTCTGCATTTACCATTGTCTGTTAT